CAGTTCTACATCTCCTTCGGTAGAACCTGCCTAAGAAAATGGATATTCATTAAATTGTTGGAAAACTTCATTTGTGCCTATGACGCTTTCAGAGCGTTCATTATAGTTTATAACCAGAGCACTTTACTCTTCAACTTCACGCAGTGTTAAATATTTAGTTTTGGAACCAACATCTTTGCTCAACCATTTTGCAATCCATGATCTTTGAATTAGTCTCCGGTCTTCCACCTCAGTTTTAATTTCTACTCTGGTAGCTCAGTATTTTGTGCAATAAAGTTTCAAGTTCACTTTTTCCTTAAAATTCTCAATTCCTAACACTTAGGAAGTTCCACAGCAACATATTATTCCACATACCTTTTGTTCCCATGGTCTTTGCAGGGTGGGCGGTATGTGCAAACTTTTGTTTAGCTATTTTAATTAGTAACTCATGTGCTACAGTTTCTTTGTTTGTCATTTTGTATATGACACCAAACAGCAAACCTATACAGTATACCAAGATACAAGTAATCAAATACCCACCTCAACTCCTTAATAAGTTGTTATGGATTAATAATTATGTAATATAGTTTCTCCAAACTTCAGAAAAACCTAAGATTTGGATAATGAACAGTACTGAATCATCTAAATTCATTTGCTGAGGAGTTGTAATATGCAATCAGTCAAACCGTTTGCTAAAAACAAAGGTAAATTCAGTGATAGGAAGTACTACATACTATTTCCAGTAAGTTTCTCTATGGAAAAGGTTATTAATATCTCAGGAACATTCCTAAAACAGAGTTTTGAACAAATTTTAATTATTCCTCTGAGATGGAAGATCACTCAGAGGATTGAGACTCCATTAACTTTTTCTAGTCTGTTATGTCACTTATTCAAGGAGTCGTATTTATTCATTTTTTTTTTCTATCTTTATTCATTTCTTATATTCAATGCCTTGTATCTATTCACTTAATCAATTTATTTTAGCAAATATGCATTAATTTTCTTCAATGAACATTTGTTCTCTTTTTGCTTTAATTGAAGCTCACCAAGGCACCTTACAGATGTATTTTTCTTTATTTTTTAAATTATTAAGTATAATTTAGGTGGGCGGTTTGTTTAGGGTTGATCACCCTAAATTGGTGTTACTCCTCCCCCCCTTCATGGGGTACATAAAAGACCAGTGAAGTTGGTAACATTGCAGCGACGGTGGCGCTGTATGCACAAAATTAGTAGTAGTAGGAGAAAAATGGGCGACTGAAGCCACACGGAGAAGAAGACGAATACTCTAGCCTCTTCAAGATTACTTTCTTGCTGTTCTACCATGGGAAGAGGCATCGAGTAGAACACCGAGACCCACCGGACACATGGAGGTGAGAAGTGTAGCAGCCGGCCGACCACCGATACCGACCACCGTACCAGCCACATCAAGTAAACAATTGTAGAACCATTATACGCCAAACCCCCATCTTTATATACTGTTTAAATATAATTATAATCAATTTCATACAGTCCACTTGTTCTTTCAAATACCCAATCATATGTACCATATCATAATAAAAATGAAGGTACATCCCATTTCAAAACTAAAGGCCCTCAGATCTCATAATCTATCGCACATGGGGCGGCCCTGTCTCAGATCAACCCATATAAGATTAGAGTAATGTATGTACTAGTGTATTTTATGTACTGTGATGTTAAAAGTGTTAGGTTATGTTAAGTGTAAGCAATGTAGGGTTGATTAACTGAGCAGTCCCCCCAGCTCATTGGTTCTCGTCACTGGGCCAATTCAGGACAGAAATAAATCATTAATAATAATAGTTGATAATAATCCATCACCATGAAATATTATTATGATAGTGAAGATAGAAGTATTATTAATTATTTGAAGTATTATTATGATGGTGTTCTTATTTAAATTTTAATATCAAACATAAGTTTAAAGTTTTAAAACATACAACAATGAGGGATTGGCAAATGCAGATACAAATATCAGCCTTTTGGTAGTTTTTTGATAACAGCCACTTTTTTTTTTTTAAAACAGCTAATATCAATGGCTAATATACTGAAATATTTATTTTTCAGAAAAAAAAAAAAAATCTTATTGGCAACAAGATGTAGGTAATGCAATGCTTCATAACGGAATGGGTTTAGGTCATTACGTGAATAGTAATTCTCCATTTGAGTGAGTAAATTCAAATGGACGATTTATATATTATTGTTTCACACAATTAATAAAATATGTTAAATAATAAAATATAATATATATCGACTTTTCAAGGACGATATATTGATCCTGGAGGGGATTGATTGAAATTTTTTTTAGTAATAAAGAGGCTATTCCAAGTGAAATATTACTATATTACTGATCTAAAAACACTTATTTCTGTTGAAAACTCTTATTCGAATATTATCACGATGGCAATAATTTCCCGTACCATGTATTACAAATATAAGTGAAAAAAAAAAAATCATTGTGGATTGAGGGTTGATTGTAGTAAAATAATTAAAGAGAAGATTGGTTGGGATGTCCAGTCAAAAAATGTAAAAATAAATAAATTATATTTATTTTTTTCTGACTTTTCGGTCTAATATTCAGGCCTTCATCAAGGCTAAGAAAAAAACATAAAACAATAGGTATGAGAAACTATTAAATTAAAAAGAAAATAATATGTAGGTGAAAGGTATAGTCTACAAAATGTAGGTAGAATAAACATAAAGGGAATATAAAATAACAATAACAAAGTTAGGGATAGAAAGTAGCGGAAGCAAAGTTAGGATGTATAATATAATGGTAATAAAGTTAGGAAATTATGAATAAAATAATAACAATAACAGAGAACTATGAAATAAATAATAGCGGTTAAAAAGTAGGGACTAATGAAATAAACATAAGGAATAAAATTAGATAACATAAGAAATGAAAAATGAATTAACAACGAAAAAGAATGGAATATTTGAGATGAAAAATGTAAGTGTAGATATAAAATAAATGGTGTGACATAGTTGTTCAAATATGATTTAATATCAGTTTAATTTACTTACAGTTTTTAGACTATATCTTTCACCTATACATTATTTTTTCTTTTTAAATTTTTATGTTAATAGTTTCTCTTACCTATTGTTATCTGGTGTTTCCTTAGCCCTGATGAAGGGCAGAATTTCGGACCGAAATGTCAGCAAAAAAAAAAAATTATTTATTTTTACATTTTTGTTTACTAAATACCGCAACCAATCTTCTCTTCAAAATTTGTAGCACTTACTTATTTTCAAAATACATTATTACTATTAATATTTGTTTACTAACTGATATACTGATTGTTGAAATGATATTAATTTTTCACGAGGGTCAACTAGTTAGCTGTTATTTTAAATACTGTTTCTATAATTATTACTCATTTGTTCTAGATTTATAACCTAGTTAGCTATTATTTTAAATACTGTTTCTATAATTTTTACTCATTTGTTCTAGATTTATAACCAAACCTATCTCCTAAGCAGGAAGGGAAGGTTGAGGTTCATTCCGGGGGTCTACTAGGTAATAAATTACAACACACCCAAGCCGAAACTGGCATTGCTAGACCTGAGAATGTTAAGCGACCCTTACACGATCATCCGTGAATGAACGTCACAAGAATGGCAAAGATTGCTCGTGATCGCTTTGATTATGAAGACCCTTACACGTTTAATCATTACTTATCATTGCTGACGCCAATTTAGCTCAGTTGTAAACAAAGAAACAGCGTAGATAAGTAAATTGTGCAGTTTCCACTTTTTTTTTTCTTCAATTCATTGCCCACTTGACTATTTAAAGAGAAAATAGTTGAAAATGGTTTATAAAAATATAAACTAGGGACATGAACAACTATTTACTTTTATGAAATTATTTACCTAAAAATGAGACCTAGGTAAACTAACCTATCTAGTAGTAAGGTTAGTCTCATAGAAAATAGTTTTGACAAAAGTTAGAAAAATGTAAGTCTACTACTTACAAAAATTAAGGAAAATGGGAAAAGAACTGACAAATTTACACAACAGTTAAATATTAATTTTTTTCTTTAAGTAAATTGTGAAGTTTCCACTTCTTTTTTTTTTTTTAATTTGTTGCCCACTTGACTATTTAAAAGAAATAGTTGAAGAGGGTTTATAAAATATAAACAAGGGATATGAAAAACTATTTAACTATTAACTTTTAATGAAAATCAAGATTTTATAATGGTTGTGAGGTCTAGATAAACTAAGTAGTATGGTTAGTCTCCCCACTACTTTTACCTCAGTCTCCCCCCCTCCACTTCTCATGAATGAACCTTAAGATTTCCGGATGTTCGGAAATCCGCCAGACACCTCCATCAGTAAACAAACACCTCCATCAGTATTTCATTCACAACCTTACACGATAATTCGGAACGTCATTATTGCCTAGGAATGCAATGCCGAATGACCCCGTAGGGTTCCCTTTAAAGTTTATGCTCTGACATGGTCAGCCATTACAACCTCTTTCAAGGCATACTTAGTAACAAAAATACATCAACAACAATCCTGGAGAACTTTGATCGAGAAACTGAACTGTTTAAAAGTTTTCTTAATAAATCTGTTACCAATTCCTCTGGTAGTGGAAAACAAAACTACTTAACAACAATTTTCCAAGACACAGCTTTAGCTGAGAAGCTTGACCATGTAAAAGGGATTAAGAAATGAACACTTTTAACGGGACCCAGTTAAGTGGAGTCTTACTATAAACAAAAATAAAGGCCCTCAGATCTCATAATCTATCGCACATTGGGCGGCCCTGTCTCAGATCAACCCATATAAGATTAGAGTAATGCATGTACTAGTGTATTTAATGTATTGTAATGTTAATAGTGATAGATTATGTTAAGTGTAAACAATGTAGGGTTGATTAACTGAGCAGTCCCCCTAGCTCATTGGTTCTCGTCACTGGGCCAACCATTATGAAAAAATGATCTGGTAAAATTGCTAAACGCATTAAAATTGATAATATTGTTGGTCATAAATCGACTTACCTTTGCTCCTTTCTTGTCTCCCTCCATCCTCACACCAAGTAACCTCTTTAAGAGATAATAAGATATTTCCAGCTCAATAAAGATTTTCGGAAGAGCCCCGACTGCACCCAGTACCTGGCCTACAAGACGATCGGCACGGCAAAGGGTTGGGTCAATTTTGGTACCGACACCTGTGTGAAAAACATAAAATACATTCAATTAAACTTAAACCTAATGGATGAAGAATACAAAACAGTTTTCTGTGTTATTTAATGTTGCTGAGATTGAGATATAATAGCCATATAATGGACTGTCAATTAAACATAATAAATTAACAGTAAACCCTTGTTACAATAAGTATAAAGAACAAGAAATTATAACAAATTTTGTAATAACTGATGAAAAAAAAACAACAGATTAATAGTGCTGATTATTCTTATTTTGTTTGTTGTTCAAATAGAAAGAGGAAAAAGAGGACGACCAAGGAAGAAATGGTTGCATGATGTGGAGGAAGGCATGGCTGCCAAAGGTCTTCCGAGAGCGAGATTGGATAAACAAAAAAAAAAAAAAAGGCTAATCTTCAGGATACGATTAACAACTAAGTTGTAAAAAAATTGTTAACAATAATAAAAATAATATTAAAGCATAAATATTTTTATTTAAAAAGAATACTTGCACCACTACAACCCATAAAGCATTTAGGGTTTAGTACTTTGTTAGAAAATACTGTTTTAAGACCAACAGTTGTGCATGGAGGTGATCAGACCAGGATCAAGCACAACTGCCAGGTTTTCCCTCTTAATTAATTAATTAATTAAGAGTACCCAGTTTATAGAGGCTATGTGTAACCCAGGAGATTCTTCCGACCTGAGGATTGATCCACAGCAGATGGAAAATTAATTGACATTGGCCGGATTTGAAAACGAAACTTTCAAGCAGTCCAGTGCCTAAATAACTGAGCTACTTCACTCTTTTCTTTTTTTTTAAATAGGAATTTAATTTATATAACATTTTTATTTATTAAAACTTTCACAGGCCCTCAGATCTCATAATCTATGGCACATTGGGCGGCCCTGTCTCAGATCAACCCATATAATATTAGAGTTACGTATGTTCTAGTGTATTTTATGTACTGTGATGTTAATAGTGTTAGGTTGTGTTAAGTGTAAACAATGTAGGGTTGATTAACTGAGCAGTCCCCCTAGCTCATTGGTTCTCGTCACTGGGCCATTTTTGTTGTAAAATATACTTTATTTAATTGAAGAAAATCTATAAATATATTGAAAAGCCAGAAAGATATAGTTTAAAAAAAAAAAACTACTTTTTTCCCATAAATATATCATATCATAAAAAGTTATTTTAGATTTTCTATCCCACAATTTATTTACAATTGTTGAAAGATTTGAAAGAAAAATCCTCCGCATGATAACCAGAGCGATCTGGGACCAGAGTACTAACAAATGGAGAAGAAAGGCCAATAAAGAACTGCTTACATAAACTGGTCAATCAATAACCCATGATATGAAGCCATGGAGGTTAAGATGGGCAGGGCATGTAGCTCGTAGCAATCCATCTGTATAGCACACAGATAACACTGTACAGCACACGCTAGTTAGTTAAACTCATGTTAAAGAAATTGGTGGGAAATTTTTTTTACTAAAAATCGGTCCAGTAGTCTCGGAGAAAAGCAGTGGACGATGGACGGACAAAAAAATTTTATTCGATTTTCGAATTCTGTGTATAATGAAACGTAAAACCTTAAATTTTGAGGGAGGTTAAATTTTTGAACGATCACAAATAAGTAATAATATAATAATACAAAAATGTATTATACATAAAAAAAGTAATATGTATCATAGGAATTGTATCCGTTTAGTATATTTAAAAAGATAATAAATCTAATAAAAAATCCCTAAACAACAATGAATCATTGGAGATTATTATTGATATGAAATATTAATGTTTAAAGGTGAAACCAAGAGGATAAAAGCCCATACCAATCAATCCACCAGGTACAGCGAATGAAAGTTCATTCTGCTCCGCACACAAAGACACAATTCTTGAAAATATAGGTTTACACGTCAACCTTCCTTCACTGTCTTTTGAGACAAGGCCTGGTCGGACTTCAATCTCCATTCCAATCTGGATAAAAAAAATAAAAATTGAACTAAAAAAAAAATAATACATGCAACACTATTTAAAGTAAAGAAAATGAAAAAAACGCTGCAAATTATTTCACAATGGTTTATTTCCAAACAATTATACATCCAAAGTAACATTACCTTCCTAGTTATAAAGTAAAATAAATAAAAAGTGATTCCAATTATTGGACTAAACTTTTTTTTTTTAATCATTAGTAATATGCTAAACAAAAATAGCATTACTTCAGTAACACATGCAAAATTTAAAAACCAAACAAAGGATATAACATTTGGAGTAGAACCAACTGGAAAAAAAAACTGAAGACCATATCTTTGATCCTAATTGTCCGAATTTAATGTTGTTTTTTTAAGGAAATTTTGTTAACCTTTAAAAAACCATATACAATATCAACAAAAAAGTGTAAACGTTTTTTGTTATTCGGAATTTAATTTTACCACCCCTCGTAACTTTTTTTTCAGCTTCTTTTCGTTGATGTAGTATGTAGTATGTTATATAGATAAATTTAAAGGGTGTCGAGAAAATGACTTTAGCAAAGTTTCGGAGAAAATGCGTGGGCGGTGGGCGGACAAAAATTTGTTTATTCATTTTTCGAATTCTACGCATCCTGAAATGTGAAACCTCAAATTTTGAGAGGGGGTTAAGTTTTTGAATTTTTTGATCGACCACAAGGGTTGATTATTGAAAATAATAAACCAATAATATAAAATATAATGAGTTTTATATCTCCATATGCTTCCAATGAGAAGACTAAATGTAATTTTAATCTTAAAATGTAACTACAATAACTTTACTAGAATAAAAGATCGGGACCTGCAAGATACTGGTAGCTCTGTTTTTAATGATCTGTGAAATTGATGTCTCATTGCGTAAATCAGTGATCAGTAATTTTTTAAACAATTTTACTACAATTAAAATAACATTGTATAGCACACGCTAGAGTTAGTTAAACTCATGTTAAAGAAATTGGTGGAAAAAAAAAATTACTCAAAATCGGTCCAGTAGTCTAGGAGAAAAGTAGTGGACGACGGATGGACAAAAAAATTTTAATCGATTTTCGAATTCTATGTATCGTGAAACATAAAACCTTAAATTTTGAGGGGGCTTAAATTTTTGAACGATCACAATGGTTAATTATTGAAAATAATAAACCAATAAATAAATTAAAATACTAAGAATCGTTTAGCATAATTACAGCCAAAGATCCGCAGTTCGATTATTCCTCTTATCAGTAATTGGGGATATAAAATAAAAATTTAAAGAACTTTTTGTGTTTGTGGATGAAAAATTCATTAATTTCCTGGATCCATGCCTAATTGTAAATATAGAATAAAATGTATATTTCTATGTTCCAAAATAAATGAGTATAAAAGTCCAATTTCTAAAAAAAACAAGTCTGATTATCAAGCTATCTGCATGGAGAGGACTGTAAGGAGAAAATATATTCATGAGCTGATAATACATACTGTAAGCACGCCATGTAGAATACTGCCGCCAGCAACACCTCCCTTCAGATCATCAACATCACAGCCAGGTTTGTTAACATCAAAAGATCTAGATTATGGAAAAAATAAAATAAATAAATAGTTCAATTATATTTTTTTATTGTATATAAACTAAAGTCTATAAATTGTTAATATAATATAAAAATAATGTTTTAGTTACAATTAAATTATTCGAAAAGAGAGAATCTAAGAAAAGTAACTTCTAATTAATTAATCTATGGTTTACACATTTAAATCAGAATAAAACCAGTAAAAAATAGTGCTATCATTATAATCTTACGTTGCTATAATAAATTAAATTTACTGATAAGAAAACATACCTAATTACGATAAGCCTCGGCTGAGAAGTGAAATCTCTCATCGGCACTGGAATTTTTTTTACAATATATTCGCAAAGTACTTCTATATTATATTTAAGCTGAGCAGAAATGGGGATAACAGGAGCTCCTTCAGCTACGGTACCTGTCAATAAAAAAAAAAAAAAAATGTTACATATATATATATATATATATATATATATATATATATATATATATATCGATCATTTTACTCCACACAGGGTTACAGAGGCAGTCAAAAGTTTAGATTCACTTGTATTCACAATCTTCAAGAATAATAAAATAAATCTAACTCAAAAGATACCATTTTAACCACAAACATAAAAAACATCCCACAAATCCTCTTTCAATTTAAAAAATGTTTACTATTCCTTCAGGATATCTTTATTTTGGGATTGATTAGGCGAACTAGTAATAGTTTGCCTATAACAATTCCATAAATTCGTACTACTTGACCACATCATTCTCCTTACTAAACTGGAACATCTTCCTCTATCCAACAGTGGTTCTGCCATGGTTCAAATCCTCCCTTTCAAATAGATTGACACTTCCCCTCTCCAGCGGCGTCCCTCAGAATTCCTCCTTATCTTCTACTCTGTTTGCTATTTATATTAATGACCTTCCTCTCCTGATTCATCCTAATACCATATCTATGCAGCTGATTTCCAAATATACCTGTCCTTCCCTCCTTCTGACCTATTAGCAGCCACAAAAAAACTTCAAGAAGACTTGAATAAAATCTGTGACTGGGCGGAAGCAAACAAGTTGAAGTTAATTGCCAAGAAGACCAAGGAAATTTTGATAGGCTCCAGTCACCTCCTTAAAACTCTTCCTAACATACCAACCCTGTTCCTACACAATAACTCTATCAAATTCTATCCCACCATTAAGAAACTCCTTATTACTTCCTTAATATTTCCTCACTTTAACTATTGCTTTACGATATATGAGAGCGTCTCCGGGGATCTCGAGGCGAAACTGAACATTTGATAAATTTCCTTGTAAAATTGATCTTTGGAATCCCAAGTGATGCCTCTATTTCCCACTATTATGAAGAGCTGAAATGGCTTTATCCTTCCTACCAACATAAGTATTTCCTAGCATCCTTCCTCTTCCAATCCCGCAGTCCTTCAATTCAAATCCTCTGTCCACTCCCGCAAAACCCATTCCCGGTCTTCAGATTTATACACAAGATCCAACTGAACCGCTGCTTTCTACAGATCTTTCATTATTCAATCCACATCCCTATGGAACTCTATCACATCCTATATCCGTCGCTCCAATACCCTCTCCACCTTTAAATCCTGCCTGTTTAATCACCTCTTATCCATCCAGTCTCGTAAAATTGTAAATAGATGTTGTAAATATGTATATAAATAATTAGTTTGTTTTAAATACTTTTCATTTTTCTTCTTCTCTTAATTGAAGATTTAATGTAAATAATATTCTTTTCTTTTATTTATTCATTATATAAATCTGTTTATTTTGTAATTATTCTCTGAGGCGCCCACATTTCTATCTTTCTACATTATTCTAAAGGAACTTGTCCCAGAATAAATAAAGCATTATTATTATTACTATATGCTATATACTATTTATTTTCTGAGATTCATTCCAAGATAAGTTCAGGTATTTAACACATTAAGAAAAATTGATTTTAAAGTTTTAATTTAGAATGGCCTGTAAATACTGAAAAAAAAAAGTGACCACTTTCTTAATGTTTTTATTATAAAAATAAGGGTCGAAAACCAAAGGTGAGTTGAAACACTTGCCATTATTATCATATTACAAAGAGAAGGCAATTCAACTAGACAAATTACATTTAAGACTAAGAGATGGAGGGAGCCGAGTGGGCTATCATGTGTGCACATTGTCTGGCAACCTTACAATCTAAGTTTAGAGGAAGCCTGGTGTAGGACTACTGAATTCTTCATTTTAGTTCCTGACCTAGTCATAGAACACAGAAGAAGAAGTTTAGAGGAAAAAATAATTAGAGTTCGCGTCACGGTGCTGTGGAGAGTTTTAAACTCTGGTATTAATCCCCTAGGGAAAAACCGCGTATAGCCTAAAAGGCGAGAACAAAAAAAAAAAAAAAAAAGGTATATATTGTTAGTGTATTGAAAACAGACATAAGTACTTATTTGATAGAGATAAACTTTTAAGTATTACTATTAGATATCACCATTCCTAAATGTTTTCTGCCGCTACCTTCTAGTTCTGGACACCAAGCAGAGGGGCTTGGGTAGCCACTCTATCCTTCAAGGAAAGCTTAGGACATCCGACTCCCCTCGTGTTATATACACAGTCTGAAAAGGTTTTATGAGGAATTTCATTTGGTTCCATCCTAGAAACATGACCAGCCCAACGAAACCTTGATAACTTATTCAAGGTGCATACATTAAGATCTCAATATACTACCCTTAATTCGGCATTAATCCTCATTCTCTAAGATCTCAATATACTACCCTTAATTCAGCATTAATCCTCATTCTTTAAGATCTCAATATACTACCCTTAATTCAGCATTAATCCTCATTCTCTATGTGCCTTGTTCATTAACACCACCATATTTTCTTCTTAACACCTTCCTCAAAAATCTACAAAGGACCTGTTGTTCCTGGGATTTAGTCACTGTCCAACGATCTTAGCCATATTGTAAAAACCAGTCGGAAAAGTGTCGTACAAATTCTCGTTTTTGGGTCACTACCTAATGAATTACTTCTTAACTGTTTTTGGAGGGCAAAATTTGTGCGGTTCAATAGAAGTATTCGCCTTAGTATTCCTTCCTCCATTTTATTTTGTCAGTTTACTTGGGTTCTTAGTTAGATTGAACCGCACAACTTAAAATATTTAAATAATTAAATATTGAATAGCCATATTAAAGCAGAATTATAAATTTAATTAGAAAATATAATTATAATTAAATTTAATTATTGAAGGTCGGTAAGTCAATCGTGTGGATGCACGGCATAACAGATTTTTGAAAAGAAAATCAATACAATATCTTACCTTGAACAAACTTAAGTATCTGTTCGTATTGCTCCTTAGCCTGGGCTTCCTTCACTAAATCAATTTTATTTTGAAGAATTAAAATATGCTTCAGTTTCATGATTTCAATAGCGGCAAGATGTTCCGAAGTTTGGGGTTGTGGGCAGGATTCATTACCAGCTGAAAAACATTGTTTAGTTAAATTATTGATCTGTTAGCTGAAACATAGATCCTAGTAGAGGGTTAGTAATAATGAGCTGATTATCATATGAAGTAATAAAGATAAACGTATGCAGTAACATTTGCAGGTAGAACAGGGAAAAAAATATTTTAGTAATTGAGTACTCAATTACTGACCGTAGTATAATTTTGAAGGAACTGCCGAAACTTGCCAACGTGCAGGTCATACCCCTGGTGAAGACCTGCTTAGTTGGGTCAAAAAATTGGCTTAAAATAAAACAGTTCTTCACTATTTAAATATTTTTAGGAAACTTACCCATAATGATCTCTTTTCTCTCTAATTTAATTATTATTTTAAAATACCATTTATTTTGTGTTTTTAAAATACAGAGTATTTTTTAATTAATAAGTAATCAAGTTGTTCTGGTAATTTACTTTGTGTATTTAAAATATAAAATAAAATACATTTATTGTTTTTCTAAAAAAAATGCACACTATATATATATATATATATATATATATATATATATATATATATAATATATATATATATATATATATATATATATATATATATATATATATATATAATACATTATAACCAATCTATTTTATATTTCACTTCTTAAAAAATGCAAAATAAAAAAAAAAGTATTTAATTTTATATTTTAAAATACTTAATTTAAAATAATGCTCACGTCAGTTAAACATTGATTGTTTGTAAATTATTAAATAATAGTCATAATTTGTTAAATTTAGTATTATAAGGATTTTATGTATATCAAAAGCTATAAAAATGAATTAAGGGAATGGCCTGGCTTTGTCTAGAACTTTTTTAAGTATAATATAAAAATCTTGCCAAGCTACCAGTTAGTTCAGTTAATATATCAATACAATATATTGATGTAGTTCAGAGAGTAAGTATAGTTAATAAAGTAGTCATCCATTTAGTCAGTAAGAAAGTTAATGGATTAGTTATTAAAGAAGGTTATAATCTGTGCTAAGGTTATATTTTTATCACCAAGTGTTGGTGTTATCATTAAATGAATAGGATAAGATTTTAAACTTAGTGCTGAGCTCATTGAGAGAATTACAAGTCCATCAAACTGAATTCATTGATATTCAGCAATTTCTTATAACTGAATCATTGATGTCTCAGCAGTTCTATTAGCCTATGGGGTCAATGGACCCGTTTGGTGTAACCTCACTGCTGATGTTTCTCAATATACTTTATATATTTATACAGTGCTGATATTTCTCAATATACTTTATATATTTATATACAGTTAATCTTTGATCTACATTTATTCCTCTTCGAAATACAATAAGTAGATGTTGACATGGGTTCATCAGTATACGATTGATTATTGATCACCGAAAAGGAAAAATAAATTATATTTAATGGAGGTTAGGTTAGTGAGGTGGCTTTAAAAGAATTCCAAAACGAGATAACAAGAATTACGAAGGATTTTTAAAAGGAGGCTTTTCTATGGAAAGGGATGTACGAATTGGTAGGTTGGGATTTTCAGGGTGGCTACCAGACAGTTTAAGTAAAATTCCCTGACATTTCCCTATTTAACGATAGTTTTCCTTGAAAACATGTTAATAATTTACCACATATTAAAAATGTGTAATTTATAAGTAAATTCATTTATTATACATGAAAGAAAATTGACTACAAAATGATTTGAGTAAAAAAAAATCAGTCTGTTAAATAAAAAATATATATATATATTTTTTTATTATTTCTTAATGACATTTACAACTGTATTACATAAATACATCAAATAAATTTGGACATAATAGATAATGACATGAATACACTTGCTGAGTAACTATCCAATGGTAGCACTCTAATGATATGACTACATTAGATCACGGGGCCAAATAAAAAATATAATTTTTTAGTAATGCATTTTTTAAGCTTCATTAGGATTTTTTATATTAGAAAACTAAACTTTCAATAATTTATTTTTATCACTTTTATTTTATTTTCATAAACTGAAAGGAGATAAAAGTTGATGCTTGACATATAAAGCTCTGATTTTCAGACCATTTTGCGGGACTTAGTTATTTGGACTCAGGGGACATCAAAACGTATATTTTCGTTGAAAACAAAGATTCGAAAATTTTCATGATCTCAATACTTTCCTTTACTATATATTTTCATATATAGGTAAGTGAAAGTAAAAAGAAGAATGTCAAGGTGAGGAGGTGAAGAATATAAGGTTTTTAGGTTCTTACGGTTCAGCACCAAGAAGATATTGTTGTCATAACTCGGGATAAAGCCTCTCTAACTTGGAGTATTAATGAGAGATGTGAGAATATCTGGGTACACCGAACAATGAATCTCGTAGAACCATTTATTTATCTTCTGCTTAACATAAAGATGACAGATACTCCAGGAAATCAATCATGGAATTTTTTACGGATAAAGATAAATTTTTGGATTATTTGGAAAATATGGTCACTCCAAGTTAGGAGTAGTAAAAATTATTGATTCAAAGTTTTAAATTTATAATTCATTTATTAATTAATTAGTTGCTTACCAATAAGCAGAAGAGCAGCATCCATGACAGCTGCTCCGTTAAGCATAGTAGCCATAAGAATGTCGTGGCCAGGGCAATCAACAAATGATACATGTCGCACCACCTAAAAGAATAAAAGTTTTAAATAACATACAAAATAAAATATTAATATATAAAACCTAATTATGGAAAAGTCAGTTGGGTTGGCATAGAGAGGAAAAACGCACAGTAGGTGTAAAATTTCTTTTAATGTATACCAACATTTTACCTTAATTTTTAGGTCTGTATCAGGGCTAGGCATGACTATATATAATAGTAAGAATAAAAATGAGGTATAGAATATATTCACACGACTAAAACCCATGAAAGATCTTGGGTTCAGTACTAAGTAAAGAAGCACGCTAATGCTTGAGCAGGAAGGTTATTGGACCAAAATCATGCTTAACCACCAGGTTTTTTCTCTCAACTGATTAATTAATTAAGAGTACCCACTTCATAGAGGCTGGATGAGCCCTAGGAAGGGTTCTAACCCCAGGATTGATCCACGACTGATGAAACAGAATAATTATCTGCCACAGCTGGACACAAACCTGGGCTCTTGAGTATAGAAGCATAGCACCTTATTCTTTGAAATACCCTACTCCCAACCAGTAATTTTTCAATAAAAGTAAAAAAATAATAGAAAGAGTGAAAAAAGAAATGAATTGTCTATTTACAACAAACTTACCTGGAAATGACCTGGGCAGTTGAGTCGTAGACAAGGTAGGGTGTCATCTTTGGACGAACCTCCTGATATATAACAGCCAGGCCTCGGGCAACTAGGATTATCACATTGGTATATTTTAGCGTTGGCATAACCTAAAATGAAATACAACAATCAGATTCAGAAACTTCTCTCGACAAAACTATCATGGAAAATAAAGAGCTCAATCTTATTAATATGTAAACATTAATTGGATTGTTATTATTGAAAATTGTGGGTAAATGGTTGACTGTCGTGAATAATGAAGAGAAGAATAGTTGGGGTGATCAGTCAAATGGCAAAAATAAATGATAATATTTATTTTGACATTTGCTGATCAACGCTTAGATCATTTTTAGCATCATTGCTTAGATTACATCTCCGCATTCAGCCCTGATGATGGCCTGAACTTCAGGTCGAAATGTCGGCAAATGTCAAAATAAATATCATTTATTTTTGCCTTCTTATTTGACTGATCACCCAACTATTCTTCTCTTCATTGTTATTATTGAAGTTGATCTGCAGGAAGATTTCTCTCTCTCCATCATTAAATTGCTTAATAACATAAATTAACGCCCTAGAGCAACAAATTCAACGAGGGAGAAGGAAAAAATCTTACTTAAAATAAAATCCTTAAATCTGACTTCCACTATAGAAGCGAACATTTTATAGTTTTAAATTAATAACGTTATACACAAAATAATATAAATGTAGGCTATTCTAAGTTGTTAAATATACGAAAAACATTTTAACAGTAAAAGATTTAAGAAAGAGAAAGTAAAAAAAAGTTTTTTGATCAAGTACCAAAATCATATAATATTTAAAACCTTCAAATGTAAATTAAATCGGATACATCTATCAAGAGCGCATGCATGTGTGTTTACATAGAAAGCCAATAGTCCGAAAATTCAAACAAATAAATCAGCCACTGATAAGTATAGGAAAAAAACTTAGGGTGAGTGAGGTTTACTAAGGCCTAATCCTTCTAAATAAATTTTTGTCTAGTATCAATTTTTTTTTTTAATTTAAATTTGTTTTACATTCTTTTAATTACATGAAATAATTTATAAGTCGATTTTTATTTAAAAACAAGAGATTATAGTTAGGCAAATTAAAAGATTCTTCTATAATTTGTTTTTTATATACACAATCATACCAAATCATCTAATGAATAAAAATTAATCAGAGTCAACATTATATATAAAACTGAATGAAGTTCATTCATGAAAAAAAAAAAAAAAAAAAAATGGAAATCATAGAATAAGCAGATTTGAATAAAATAATTACATCAGGGAACAAAACCACTTATTTAACAGCAACGAAAACTGAATAAATATTTACAAAAAATATAATTTTTTTTTCAATCTGTGTAATTTCTAAGCAATTATCGTTTACGAAAAATAATACAAAAGACCCTTATCCTCAGTTTTATTTAATGTGTTATTCGAAATTAATCATACCTCATTCAATCATATCAAGGACAAAATTATTTATACAGTTGACTCTCGATAACATAAACCTCAGCAGTAAGTTTACAGCTCCCAAAAATGATGGATTTCAACAAATGAGGTGTCAAAAGAAAAGATTTCACGAAGAAGTAATAATCTGCAATTTCGGTGTTTTAATTTGTACTATAACTTTAATAAAGTAAGTTTCAAAACTCAAAACTTTTGTTTTAAAGATATCGAAGCAGCCATCAAGAGCTGGTGAAGATGGCATGAGAAACATATCACATGTCGTTTTAAGTTTTTAAAAACTGAAATATGTTTATAATCATCATTCCTGCGGCTAAATTAAAATCTATTGAAAATTAATACAAAGGAGAATATTCCTGAGGAGTCACCTCGATAATATAGAAACTTTTTGATATTTTAATTTTCTTGGTTGTTAATATCGCCATAATGGTGATGAAGATTTTATATATGTTTGGCTTCTATATTCTACTCTGGATAGATGAGAGAATCACAAACCAACTATCGTGCCTAGTTGTAGTGTGTACAAACCCTATTGAATACGGCCGAGTTATATGAAGAAATATTTTTCAGTAGAGCAAGGTAATTAATTATGTATTAAATAAATTGTTACTTGAACATAATCCCTATGAAGTATGAAGCTTGTGTGTTATACCAGATTTTTTAAATAATAATATGTTAATTTTATATGAACAAAAATGTTTTCCTATCGTGTACACTTAAAATATATATATAAGAAAAAATTATAGATATTTAACGCAAAAGTTCTCGCACAGGTAAACTAGTTCATAAAAATTTAAGTTGTTATTTTCAGCGATTCCACTTTTATTGAGTTGTAAGCTCAGGACACTATACATACACGTTTCTAGTTCAACACTACAGTTTCCATGAACCATATACATAACTCACGTCTTCAACTTAATTATTTAACACAATTTTTACTACCACAGCTTAAACATTACTAGTATATTTAATGTACCTTAGAAGATTGTTTTGTTTTTTCCTTTATTACTGTCTTTAAGTTATTTGACAGTTAAGATAAACTACAGTTGTAATAAGTCATCCATAGGGAAGACAATTTCATTAACATACACAAGAATTATGTTTCTAGTCTTTCTTAATAATAAACTATTAAGAATGAGTACAACTGTGGATTGAAAGGAAGTGCTCAAAGATCAGAATTATAGCTTTTAACCACTTGTTCTTACATAATTCTTCTAATTATACTCAAGAAGGAATGTCATTAAGGCAGTAGATGAAATCATGAAATAAAAAAGGGACATTATCAAGTAACTCAGCATAATCTCCAACAGCTATTTACCAAAATTTTGGTAAATAATGAGATGTTATTAAATTATCTGATCACTGTTCGGGCGCCATATTTGTTGCAATTTTCAAATTGTATATTTGGACACCAAATATACATCTTTTAGGTTGTTTTGATTAACAACAAACACTTGAATTTAAAACACAATCCTTTCAGGAGGACAGGTATATACATTATAATGGAATGGTGAAAACAATGTCCTTATCACAAATCCAAGAACTCACTTATGAGTTAACTTCGAACAGACTTAATGAATAAAAATTCACACGCTACCAACAACAACTTATGATTCCTTAAAAAATAACTGCACTGGACCATCTAGCCACTAACTCGTGGACTGGTAGATCTACGACTAACTATAGGAACTATTTCCTAATATAGCATTATACTATGATTTCCGTAGGCAAGAAGAGCCTATTTATTTTACATATCTTAATGATTGTGCATCCTTAATGGTTGAAGGACAGCTGAAACAAAAATATTGTATGAGTATTTGTTTAATAACCTGTAAGCCACGCAATACTCCTTGGTACTAATTAACTAATTGATAAGAAATATGCAAATGTTAATTGAACTCAAGAATTTTAATACACAAAATTCATCATCTTAAACCTAAATAACCCGACATTTTTTATCATCCCATGAAATCTGAGTTATCAAGAGTCAACTGTAGCAATACGATAAAAGAATTTGTATATGTTGAAGATGTTATCATCATACGAATGAAAGTAGTGCAAAAACTAATATAAAATAAATAAAAAAAGCACACTCATTTCCAGGAAAATCTGAAATAGCAGATCTTTTTTAAGTTAAAGTAATTTCAAAGAGTTCAAGAAAAATTAAAGTACCTAAATACAATTTTAACTAAATAAAATAATAATAAATTATAAAATATATTTTAAGAGCAAGTATAGTTATTGGAAAACTGGTAGGTTTAAGAAAAAGAAATCCTAGTTTTAAAAAAACAAACATGCAACATCTATTATATAAACAAAGTATAGTACAACACAGAAAGACAAGTAATAGATAAATTTTGTCTGACTTAGTTTAGCATTTTTCAGTGTAAATACTGACCTTGTTTAATCGACTTAGTTTCAAATTCTTCAATCTTCATTAATTTTGACAATTTTATTAAGACAATAAGATTTTAAAGAACTCACGAGCATATATTAGCATGCTTTAGATTAACACCAATTAAGACTCAAAAGATAAAACAAATTACTTAATTTAAATAAATAAAATAATATTATATACTAAGTTCAGAACATTAAAAAAATCAAGTTAGATGATCCTAAAAAATGAGGAAATATTCTCAAAATGTTAATGATGAAAATAAATTTGAAAAGAGGATCAAAACAATCTAAAAAAATAAAATATTTGACAATTAAGCATAATTTTTTTTCAACTACAAATAATACATCCCCAATATAACTTATTTTGATAGCAGCTTTAACGAAAAATCATAATAATCAAGGAGAAATTATATTCAAATAATTTTTGTTATTTCAGAGTTGAGTCAGCATCTTAGAATCTTCGAGAGAAATCACACATCCATGTTATCAAATATAATGCATGTACATTCTTCACATTTAACAACTTCATCCATCCATAAATGCTTTTATGAAAAAATTAATTTTATAAATAAATATAAAACATACTACATAAGAAGCAGACATAATATAAATTTAATTGATGATTAAAAGTGATTACATTTAATATGCTAGAACAAGATTCTTAATAATATTAAACAGCAAATATGTTAACAGTTGGAGAATTATTTACAAGTTAACCTCATGATGAATCAAAATTAAAATGACTAATCAGAAATCTATAAAATAAACCTATGCAAAGCAATAAATAATTCTAAAACATTCTTAAAAATTAACGATTAATTAAAACTTTTTAGAGATAAAATTTTCAGCGTACTTTTTCATTTCTGTATTTGATCTTTACTTGATCATTACCATCTTAATTTATTGTTATTCGACATCATATTTTTAAAAAATTTGTATTCACAACGCTTCAAGTCTCATAAAACAATTTTTTTCTCATGATTATTTTGTAATCCACAGGTAATTTATTTAAATATTATCTCATCGCTTTAATAATTCACTTTAGGAATTGTCTATTTATATAAAAATTTCAACATTTAAATCTCTTTGGATAGGATGTAGAGTGTGAGTGTGTAAAACCACAAAAATCATACAAAAAATGGTATAAGTGAGAGAAAATCGTTGAGATATCTCTAAAAAGAAACATCCTTAACGCTTCTCAATGTACATACCAAACGCTGGTTTTACACCCTTAACTTTAACTGAAAGAAACATCCGGCTATCTTAAAATCTAATTTTTTTTTAAGTGAAACTTATTTGAATATGCTTAGGTATATTCTTCTATTTGTATAAAATATTTAGAACTAAAATACACTGCAGTCCCACTTGTTTGAGATATAGTCATTAGCTAAGTAATTATTGTTATTCATAGCTATTTTCCAGAATAATCCAAAAATGGGGACTCTATTACAATCATTAGTAAAAAAAAAAAAAATATTGTGTATATTTGTATGAGTAATAGTTCACATGCGTTCCGCACGGATTATGCGTGCTTCACAATCACAATAATGGCACATTTGGTAACTCCAAATGTTTTTTTTTACTTTCCATTGTTTGTCTCATTGTTAACTAAAACTGCTTTTATCGTCATAGTTTATTCAAATAGTCAAGTTAACAATGTTCATTCAACTAAGCAGCCTCTGGTGAAATTCTTTATCTTGGTCACGAGAAAGACTAGAATATTCTGTTCTGAGATCTGGCAAAGATGCGAAAAGGAAATTAAAAAAAAAATTTATTTTAAGTTCCACATACAGTTTTTTCGTGGATGTACACAAATATCATAGTCCATGTTAACTATATCAATATGTTAACTATATAATTGATGTATCTTCTTTGAGTGGTACAGAAGGTATGTGATATTATGGTGCTGCACAGAAGAACCGACTAAAAATTAAAATATAATACAGGTTTTCTACTAATTTTGGTAATTTAAAATCCAAACGAACATTTTTGCAACTGAGATAACAAATGAGGTTAAAAAAAAAATCATAATAGTAATATGACTTTTAGTTAAAACAATACTGCAAGTTATTAGTGTTTTTGTTTTTTCTATTACTATATTCCTACCCCATCTTAATAGAAGGCTGAAATATGAGTGACAAAACTTCTAATAGGCTACCATTTTGAAACAAAATGTCAACTTCCGAAGTAACCTGTATTCAAGGGTCAAATTAAAACTAAAAAATAATGGCCCAGTAGCCATAGGGAAAACCCCCGTGAATAAATATTTTTTTTATTCGGATTTTAGGTATCGATAAAAACTCAAATTTTATAACAGGGAGGATTAGTTGGAAATATTGCAATCTAAATTTTACATATGTTTTCAATTACTTGAATTCTATTTTAGCTTAAATTTACATGATTTTTTTCCCCATGCAAGTATTCAATTTTATTTTTTATGGACGACAAAAATGTCTAAATAATAAACGTTTAAATCTAAATCTAATAAACCGAAATAATTGCACCAGTAATATTAGTGATAACAATAAGATAATATTTTCTGTTTGGTTAGACTGTCATGCAACAGGTCTCTTTCATTCATTGAATTATCAAAATTAGCTAAGAAACAGTTTAATTTGAAGGAAGACATTAAAGTTTACATTATTGACACAAATCAATTCAGGTAAAATTCACAATTATAACTAAAAAAAAAAAAAAATTATGGGACAGTAAAATAAATAAGTTATATTTTGTACATATTATCCATTCTAGCATTAAAAGTTCCAAAATATGAACTCTCATATACAAAAAAAAAAAAATATACATAATCAGAACAGTCTTTACATAGAGCTTTGGAATTTCACTTAGTAATTCATAAAATCAGTCTAGATATATTTATATTTACATCTATATAAAACCATACAGTAATAAAAAAAACTGAATTAATATTTACATATTTTAAAAGTTGCCAAATAAATAAAAAATGACGGACATATGTAGTAATTGTATCATATAAACATAACATTAGAATGACATAGAAATAAGATAAAAAAAATACAAAGAGCAACTTCTGACGTTCCAATTAATTCAAATCAATTTTGAAGATCTAATTTACAATATAGAGATGGAGCAAATATTTGTTAAACAAAATTTATACAATATAATAAAATTAGAATTTACTAGTAATAATAAAAAATAACAATTGTATTTTTAAAACAACATTCTTCTTTAAAAAGGAAAAATAAAATTATTTAAATAAAACAGTTGAAGCTGAAGCAACTTTAATATAAAAACTTTTTTCTTTTTTTTCCATTACCCAAGTCATATGTGTAAAAATTATAATACACAAATATACAAATACATTCATTACTTTTTAAAAGCAAGATTTTAATTATTAATTATAATTTATTAAATTATATTAAAATAAGTTTTCCTGAATTTTTACATTGTTTATAAGAAATTTACATCAAAGCACAATTTTCTAGAAACTAAAAGAGAGAGTTGAAATTATTTTAATTTACTAAGTGAACTTAAATTATAAAAATCCATTAAAAGATTGATATTTTTTTAAAGTTACATTTACCAAAATATATTTTTTCTATTTAATAAAATATAAAAATATTTTATAAAAATAACTGACTTTTAGTTAAATTTTAAACAAGACAAAATTTAATTAACAAAGTGTATTTAAAAATTTAAAATTTTATTACATATAACACAAATAACGGATTAATAATCATGCACATTCGCCGATTGTCAATTGCGAATGTATAAATACATATAATTACTTAACAGATAATCTGAGAAGTAATTATTCCAAATCAATAAATAACAAGTTAATGCATAACTGCAAATAACAACTGTTTCGTAACAGCACAAAGCTCCCAAAAACATACGCTATTACTACACAAAGTAATATCATGCCTAGACTGTTCAAATTTTAAGATAAATATTATTTCATGAATTTATTGTAGCACTTAAAAGCATTCATAAAATAAAATTAAGATAAGAATAATCCATTTTATTGGAAACAAAGCGAATAAAATTCACTTTCAATGTCCTTAGGTAAAAATTTTCCAAAATTAAAAAAACAAACATTAAAACAGAAATGTTCGGCAATTTGGAGCATTGCATTTACATAGTGTTCGAACATCTGAATTAGAGCTAGATTTACCCCGTTTATCACTTTTTTCTACCGGCTGACACAAATAATCAAATGTTAGCTCCTCATAAGCATTTATAACTCTATTCGAATAGAGCCCTAGACGAGGTATGTTAGGATCCAAGCATTCTACCCAGACCGCATATACGTCTAAATTTGGGCTACAGGAATGATTAATAAAATGGGAAATATTTCCGTATTCAGCCGCGTCAACGGTATACGGGAAATCCTTATTGTCATTAAAATCAAGATCGAAGAGATAGGTTCTACCTTCTCTATCGTATTGTTTACCCCTACGGTCGGCTTCTTGGGTAGTAATAACTTCTCCGACATACTCAGTAACGAATTGCCCTTTGGCTATTTTCTGTAAGGTGCGGACACCCCAACCGCAGCCATTGTTGGTTTTAAATACAGAAACATTGACTTTTCTTCCGTTCTGAAGAACTCTATTAGGACAATCGGCGCCACACTTACATTTAGAGTTACACTCATAAATAGGACTACCTTTAGGAACTTGGAGAAGACCCTTATTATTGTAAGCCGAACCCCCATAACCTTGTTGAATGCAATAACAACTTTTGTTGCAATGAGAATTGCAATCGCATCCGATGGGAGGATCCTCAGGAATTTTCAATCCTAAACTCTGTTTATATTTATTGATGTACTTAAAATCCATCGGCCTCGTTTCCAAATCGACACAATTCATAACGTAGATGTGAGCAGTGTCAGTAGAAATTTCATTCATCTCACGTTCCCAATCACGGAGGTTTTGTAATTGCAATGTTCTCCTCTTTTTAAGCTCGAGTATCATGCATTGATTTCGAAGCTCTTTAATTAACTTCTGGTCACGTGCTTGCCTGGGAAGTCTTGATACCATTTTTAAAAACTGTTCGTGTTCTTCTTCGATAATAGGCGGAATGATATCCCCTTCTGATCTCAGGTACAGATTTGCAAGTTTATCGATATCGTCGTTGGTGAAGACACTTATCCACTTTTTAAAGGAATATACTTGAGACTCCCATCTTACTGTTTCCCCTAATGAAGATTCGAAATAATCAACGACTGTCTCTAAACATCCCTTGAGATTCTCGATAGGCTCCCAAGTACTGGTATCAGGGGGCCAACCTTGCCACTTTACAAAATAACTTACAACCTTTCCGTTTAATTCTTCGTGGTCCAATATTTTTTCAACTTCATAGACGTCATTATCACAGTTGTTTACAGTCGGCGAACTGTTACGTACTGAACGTTTTCTCTTTTTCCCTCTCTTCACCTGGTCACTTTCCCCTGTTGTCGGCTGCAAAGAGTTGTTATCCATCCCCGAAGATCCTTCTACTGGAGTCATTCTGCAAGGGAAAAGTGCCAGGACTTACTTAGGCTGTCTTCATTAGTTGATACTATCATTATATTATTACTTAGCATTCAAATATATAAAATATACGTGAGTAATTAATAATAAATTTCAACATAAATGATACTACTTTAAATTAAGGCAACTATTCATTCATATAATTATTATTACAAACCTAATTTAATGGTAATATTCCTTTCGAGTTCATTCTTAAACCTTACAGTCTGCACACCAGAGACAGCTTTGACGACTGTAGATTTCCCATGCGCTACATGCCCAATTGTTCCTATAAAAAAAAGAAGAAATATTATGTCTAAAATTTGTTTATACATACAACACAAATAAAGATAAGCTTAACTGAAAAAAAAAAACTTGCACAGACCACTAAACAAAAAAACCACTTAATCACTTCATATTATAAATTGTATATTAGTTTTTTAATAGTTTGTTTATTTCATTTATAAACAATGGATATTTATCCATCAACATGGCCAACATAACAGTAACGAATTCAACTTCAGAATCAAGCGGGTTGGGATATCATTTTACCTACAAAAACTAAAACCAGACATCTAGGCAAAATTTATGAACCATTACTAGTAATGATATAGTCTGTGGGCCAGACCCCCTTACCGTGCACCCCCCCCACATCCCTATAAATTGCATATCGTTGTGTTCCTTGTAACAATTTATTAAAAAAAAGCCAATGTTCCCACAAAAAAAAGTGAACGCACTGCCCCAAAATGGCGTCCAAAGATGGCGGATTGACGACTTTGACTTTAGTTAGTTTTTTGGTCACTGAGAATCAGCATTAAGCTTAATTTCCTCATAGTTGGTCTTTTATTAAAGCTGAATAGTTATAGAATAATAAAACATGAAGAAATATTAAAAAATAATTGTCTAAGGCTATGAAAAACACCAGTAAACTCAATTTTTTTAACAAAAAAATTTTCAAGTTACAAATCAAGCGTCGTTTGTAATTAAACGGCCTACAATAACGCAAAACGTGCTGAAATAAACCATCTGGAGAATATATTTCTCTTTCTGAAACGCTGATTATTTTTTACAAATGTTTAAGTAGTTCCGTAAAAAATGCACTTATGCGGCAGAAAAGCGGTACTGGCGTGGGTGCCTACAGGCCTCTACCACACCATTCAGTGCCCATAAATGGCTTAGTTATAGTGATATAATAATATTTTTGGTACATTATATTGGTTTTATTAACGAACAAATATTAATGCAATAATTTTATAGTAAAAAAAAAAAAAATTTATTAAAAAAAAAATTTATTATAATTTTTTTAAATTTTAATCTCCTTTATTTTATACGTAGGTCGTTTAAGAATACCTCAATTGCAAAAATGATATAATTATAATAATAAAAGTTAATTAAAAAATATTTTTCTAAATATTTAATTCTTAGAAGTAATTAAAATTTTTATATATTTCCCAGGAAATGAGTCATATTCATACCTTTTTTATAAACTAAAATAATATATACCTAATCTGAACTATATATAATGTATAGCTACCGGGTTGTTTAGTAAAACTCATATATCACTAATTAAAAAATTAATTTTTATTTCTTTTATTTTGTGCAGAAGTTGGACTATATCATAAATAAATAGGAAATTTTAATATTGAATGAATTATTCTCTATGCACAAAGAAAGATATAAAGGTTGACCCTATAAGTTCTTCTATAAACCAAAACTGATTGTTTGGATTTGATCTCAAAATGAGGAAAAACGTGAACTTAAACGAGAAAATTGGAAAAATACATTAAGCGAACGAGAAATGAAGTGCCAAAACCTCGGAATAGATAAAAAGGACCAGTTATATCCATTATATAGCTAAATGAATGTATAGTAGATAGATGAACAGAATATTTCAAGATGCTGCTAAAACGGGATCAATTGCAGTTTGGATGATATTAAGTGGACGATGTAGGTTTATTATGGTGAAAACCACTTTATTTTCGATTGCTGAAGGTGCACCTCGGGACTATATTAACTTTGAAGATGAATATAGAGAGGTATATCGAGAAAGTTATAGCTCATGGCTTTCCTTCTGTTTAGTGGATTTTCAAAAGATTTTTTGAGGTATCTTATATTAGTTGTAGCTCGCTATTCTTCTCGTTATTCTTGAATTGTTCGGAATTTATACCATATCATAAAAAAATAGGAAATTTTAATATTGAATGTATTAGTCTCTCTGCACAAAGAAAGATGGAAAGGGCGAAACCAAACTGCTTTGACAGTTTTGCGCGTACATAGGCAACAAGCATATTAGAAAATAATATGAAAGGACTGTGGTTTTTACCTTTACAAGAAAGGAGATACCAGGAAATGTAATACCCATCAAGAACCATTCCTGTTTAGTGTATCAAACAAATTATACACAAGAATCGTAGAAGCTGGAATAAGAAATATTGTCGATTGCCAGAGCGATATGGATTGAGAAACTCAAGTTGCACATTGGAAGAGAAGTTGAAAATTGGGACTGTCTTCACTTTAAGGCAGGTTATAGAGAAGTCCACATAAAAAGAAAAATAGCTCTCTATCTGCTCAGTGCCTCACACTTTGGATTATGCTAATATCTAACTGTCTTTCAGAAAAACTCGTTTTCCTTTTAGATCCCTTAAAAAATCTTTTGAAAATCCACTAAACAGAAGGAAAGCTATGAGCTATAACTTTCTCGATATACCTCTCTATATTCATCTTCAAAGTTAATATAGTCCCGAGGTGCACCTTCAGCAATCGAAAATAAAGTGGTTTTCACCATAATAAACCTACATCGTCCACTTAATATCATCCAAACTGCAATTGATCCCGTTTTAGCAGCATCTTGAAATATTCTGTTCATCTATCTACTATACATTCATTTAGCTATATAATGGATATAACTGGTCCTTTTTATCTATTCCGAGGTTTTGGCACTTCCTTTCTCGTTCGCTTAATGTATTTTTCCAATTTTCTCGTTTAAGTTCACGTTTTTCCTCATTTTGAGATCAAATCCAAACAATCAGTTTTGGTTTATAGAAGAACTTATAGGGTCACCCTTTATATCTTTCTTTGTGCATAGAGAATAATTCATTCAATATTAAAATTTCCTATTTATTTATGATATAGTCCAACTTCTGCACAAAATAAAGGAAATAAAAATTAATTTTTTAATTAGTGATATATGAGTTTTACTAAACAACCCGGTAGCTATACATTATATATAGTTCAGATTAGGTATATATTATTTTAGTTTATAAAAAAGGTATGAATATGACTCATTTCCTGGGAAATATATAAAAATTTTAATTACTTCTAAGAATTAAATATTTAGAAAAATATTTTTTAATTAACTTTTATTATTATAATTATATCATTTTTGCAATTGAGGTATTCTTAAACGACCTACGTATAAAATAAAGGAGATTAAAATTTAAAAAAATTATAATAAATTTTTTTTTTAATAAATTTTTTTTTTTTTACTATAAAATTATTGCATTAATATTTGTTCGTTAATAAAACCAATATAATGTACCAAAAATATTATTATATCACTATAACTAAGCCATTTATGGGCACTGAATGGTGTGGTAGAGGCCTGTAGGCACCCACGCCAGTACCGCTTTTCTGCCGCATAAGTGCATTTTTTACGGAGCTACTTAAACATTTGTAAAAAATAATCAGCGTTTCAGAAAGAGAAATATATTCTCCAGATGGTTTATTTCAGCACGTTTTGCGTTATTGTAGGCCGTTTAATTACAAACGACGCTTGATTTGTAACTTGAAAATTTTTTTGTTAAAAAAATTGAGTTTACTGGTGTTTTTCATAGCCTTAGACAATTATTTTTTAATATTTCTTCATGTTTTATTATTCTATAACTATTCAGCTTTAATAAAAGACCAACTATGAGGAAATTAAGCTTAATGCTGATTCTCAGTGACCAAAAAACTAACTAAAGTCAAAGTCGTCAATCCGCCATCTTTGGACGCCATTTTGGGGCAGTGCGTTCACTTTTTTTTGTGGGAACATTGGCTTTTTTTTAATAAATTGTTACAAGGAACACAACGATATGCAATTTATAGGGATGTGGGGGGGGTGCACGGTAAGGGGGTCTGGCCCACCGTGTAATACAGTTTATTGAAATTAGTTCACATGTTTTAAACAGTAAAATTAATTTTTACCTATCATAATATAGCACATTTACTAAATTCACTATTAAATTATAATTTGTTTGCTGAACCCTAATACTGTATTGAATTATTCACATTGGCCAATCAATTAGTACAGAAATCAATAAGCATCACAGTTTAAACAACGATGTAATTACAGTGATAAATAACTTTGTGAATGATTTTAGAATTCATTCAGAGTTGATAATCTATATTAATAGCTATGAGTAATAGCCATCATTAATAGGGAAATGATATTACAAAATAAAAAGATTAAATTATGTAATTTAAAATGAATCATTAGAAAAAATAAAGCTCCCTTAAAATTAAGAACTCCAGAATAGAGACAGACCTATCACAAATAACTGATTATGACACAGCTAGGAAATATCTTAAAATAAATTAGTAACTAACTAATCAAGAAACAGAGCATAAATTCTATTTCTAGACTCTTTCCCTCCTTTCGAAGACAATATTTCCTACGGACAATCATTTACCAAATAATCAATAATCATCGTCAGCCTTACTCATACAACCTACTTCAATTCAAATCATCTATCCACACCCTCTCCACAAGATCTCGTCCTTATGACCTTTACACCCCTTTTCACAGATCTACCTCATTCAAACATTCCTTTGTTGTCCGTTCCACTGCATTTTGGAATTACATCCCTATAAAAAGCCGCCATGCATCCTTATTCACATTTTAAACCCTTTTATTCCAATTCCTCTTCACAATCCAATCAGACGCTGATTAAATACATATTATGCAATAAGGCTTTAATTTTCTTTATACATTATTCTTTTCTCTTATATTCATTCTGTGTTTAACGTGAATTTCCATCACCACTCACCAAGCATGGTGAGTAGGTAAAATTTGTTTTTCTTAACTTCTAATTTTACTATTCATGAAATTGTATTTCTTTGAAATTTATTTTATTTTCTACTTATCTACGACATACTCCTTTCTATTCTGTGTATGTGTGTATATATATATACTTTATTTTATTTTTCCTTCTCCTAATCTTTACGTATATCCACTTAAATATCTGAGAGAACATATGTAAATCTTTTTTTTTTTTTAATATAACAAGTTATTTTATTTTTATATTCCATCACTACAATGTTTTGCTTATAAAATTGATTTAGCGTTCCTTTCTAATTTCATTTATTGATTATTATGTTAGCTCCAATATTGTAGTATTGCAACCCTATTACCCGACTGTTTTTGTTGATATATCCCAAGAGCTATTATACTTAATTTATTACTAGTATTTTAGTTATTCTTTATTGTAATAGGTCTTTTGGCCAGATTTGTAGTTAATTTAAATAAAAAATACTGTTATTCTTAAGGAACGTAGTCATAGAATAAAGATGATTTTCTAATTCTATTTCTAAATGTTAGGTTATAATTTTTTTAAACTATAACCCAACTAGCAAATATCATATACCATCTGTAACAAACATTTCCAGAATACTTCAATTATTAATTTATTGTTTATTAAAAGGAGTCACAAATAAATATGTTGTGGTTGGGTGATAAATATCAGAACGCAGTCATTATGAGATTTTTATTAGTGCCGACGTTTCAACCGAAACATGTGGGTCATCATCAGGGCGTGGTTCGAGCACTAAAGATATTGCTAAATATATATTACTAACCCAGTTAGTACATTTCTGGAGTACTATAGTTATTTACTAATTTATAATTAAGTAAGGTTAGTACTTTAATATCATCAGTGCTCGAACCACGCCCTGATGATGACCTACATGTTTGGGTTGAAACGTCGGCACTAATAAAAATCTTATAATGACTGCATCCTGAAAATTTATTACAGATGATATGTAGAACAGTCGACTAACTTCCTTCAAAATGTTGTAATTATTTAATTTAAGGAATGATTTAAATTCTGAAATCACTAATGATTTTAAAATCCCTGTTAAAGAAATATGAAACAGTTCCTTAAAATCAAGACCTCCAAAACAGATACCTACCACTGATTAGCCATTTCCTGTCAGTAATAAACATTTCTGGAGTACTTTAATTATTTATTTATTTTTAATTAAAAGCAGTTGCTCATAGATATGTTATGATTAGTCAATTTAAGGAATGATTCAAATTCCGAAATCACCAATCATTTTAAAAATAAAATTAACGCAAAATAGTTCACAAGATTTTCCTTACTGCAATTGCATGTTTTGTAAAGCAAATTGACACAGTGAATACTCTGTAAGCCCATCTAAACCAACCACTAACAACGAACCATTGAAACTATTTTATTATAATTAGCAGATCTTATTCAAGAGAAACAGAAATCCTGTTTCCACGTCTTCCAATACGACAAAAACATGGTTAGGTTTTCCATGGTAATCCAAGATGTTATTTTCACCTATTCTACAGATTAGGTAGATCTTTTTTCTTCGAATTAAGAAAATATTAGTGATGGTTCTTGTACTATGTAAAATGACAGAGCCAATTTAGGTTTACGTCCAAAAAATTAAAGGTCTGAAAATGTACTTTGATACTAGATGTATAACTAAGGTAGAAATTTGTGGTGGATATGAAAGAGATGGGACTACAGGATAAACAAATCAACTTTCTTATTTCTCTAAACGTTAAACAACCATGATTTAACAAATCTGTTGCTTAAAATGAGATATCTTTTAAAGCATATTAGTTAGTATTTGATTATACTAGCATAATGTGGATTAGAAGTTTGTAATAAAAACAATTCTGATAATATAGCCCAATAGCTACTACAATATGGCAGCTGCACAGAAGATCAAACAATGTAAGTAGCCAGAGACAACCTTTCTCAAAAAATCTATTATTACAAAACAATAAAAATTTCATTAGAGGTCAAAATCATTCATGTTCAAATTTAATAACTTGTTAGATTTCCTCAAGATACAGACACTAATAGATTCTTTTCAGTACAGTTCCAGATATTAACACAGATCCTTGTAGACAGAGATGAACACATATTAGTCAACCATCGCATTTTAAGTGTAAATCTATTTAAGCAAACCCTGACCTCAATTAAAAAGTTAGGTGTTTATCTATTGACAGCCTAGAGTTTTGATCTAATTAAAATCAGTAATAATTTTAATTACCACTAGTAAAACGCATCAATGCCTCCATAATATAGGTGTAAGATAATCTAACCTTAAATGCTTTTTATGTTAGGACATTTGTATCATTATACATAAACAATACGTAACTACTTTCACCACTTAATCTACAGCGTGATCTTGTGCTTAGGAGGAACACTTAGAAACTAATACCAGAACGTTGTTTCTTCAAAACAACAATTTTATTTATCGTATACATAATGAACACCATAAATATATTACCTATATTAATAGTAGCTTGTCGGCTGATTACTTCAGGAGATAGAGGAGTTAATTGTTTAATATCCTATAACAAAAACACCCAAAATTATATACAATGTTATTGGTTTGATTATTACAATACATAAGTAAATAATAAAAAATTACTCAAGAAGAAATAAAAGAAATTACATCATAACAAACAAAACAATGAAATAAAAAGAGTGAAAGTCATACATATTCAAAAAAGAAAGGGTCAAAAAGACGTTAACAGTTCACAGCTTAAAAGGTGGAACTATTTCCATAAAAAATAGTCAAAAAGTACGTTAAAAGACGCCAAATATTTTGAACATGAGCTGAACCTCATGGTATTGAGTAACATAAGTAGTCAAAAATAAAATGGTAACTTACTAGTTTAGTTAAATCTTGAGCCGATAAATTAGGTTGATTAAGAGTAATACTAACAGGTTTCACATTCGACATAATATTAAATTAAGAAATAACAAAATACTACACAATTACACAAACCCACGATACCCAATCTATCAGTCACTGGTAGATAGATAACTGTATGTTACCAAGCAATATGGCGGATTGAGAATTTATGATATAATTCAAACGCCAAATAACATCTAAACCATGGTGAAATGAAAGAATATATAATACAAGGTTCGGTGTTCTAATTTCGTGTCACAAACATAGTTTAAGACAATTATAATGTACCTGAACCTCAGTCTTTAATAAATCTCGTGCCTCACAACAACCACAGCAGGTCTTGCCGCCAAAATATACTTCATAACTATCTTGATCTTATTTTTTTTCTTATCGTGTATAAATTAGCATTGTTGTATTAAAATAATAATTATTATTTGTTAGAACTTACGTCGCCTTCCTCTATAAATAATTTAAATTTAAAACAATCAGTGAAACATTAATAAAACTAAAAATATTTCAAAATTAAAAAATGTAACTTTCATTTGTTCCAGGTATAGTTCGCAATTAACATAATATTATAAATTTAGGTCGATTAATTATTTTTTATTAATTTTAGTATATTACGAATAAACTTGAGCTATTCTATATTTTATTGAATATTAAGCACCTACTGCTCAAGGAGGTTAACTGTAAGTAGGTTATACTTGAATTCAATTTGGTTCTGAATTTTCACTTCACTGAATTCCTTCAATTTTACTTCATTATCAGTATTTGATTATAGCGATCATAGATATAATGTCCTATTTACTTTAAAAATAATAAATGGCACTTAACACATTGTTTAGGTGCAACAGAAGTAAATTAGTTGTGATAAGTAATATTTTAAACAATAAAAAACATGAACCGAAATTGTTTTCTAATAGTATTAGATTCCTTAATATAGGGCAACCTCATTTATCAAAAAAAGAGTAAGTTTTATTGTATAAAATATGTAGTGTGTCATGTGTATGAGTGTTCAGTGTGATGTAACGTTAACTTTCATGACTAAAACTAGCAGAGCAGGATTAATCTTAAATATTTATATTTTTCAGGTACCAAGTAACATTTGTTAGACCTAATGGAGAAAAGGTGAAAGCCAAAGCCTCAGAAGGGGACAGTCTTCTTGACGTCGTAGTTAATAATGATTTGGACTTTGATGGATTCGGTAAATCGATGATAACTAATTTTATAAATTTTCATATAAATTATATTTATTTTCTTTAAGAACAAATATTGTAATTGTTCACAGGAGCATGTGAAGGAACATTAACTTGTTCGACATGCCATGTTATTCTTAAACCAACAGATTATGACAGGCTTCCAGATAAACCATCTGAAGAGGAAAATGACATGTTGGATTTAGCCTTTGGATTAACAGATACGTATGTTTTTGCTTTTTACTATACAATAGATTGACATTAAGGTGCATTTATTGATAAAGATTTTGAAAAATATTTGTTATCAATGCCTTTGATTAAATTACTCTATCCTTGGAACATTAGCAATGCTTGTAATAATTAATTTTAGATTAAAACTGTATCATAATAAATAATAATGAATTTTATTATTTTTTCTGTAATTCATGATTGTTTTAAATAAGTGATACGTTAATTATTATGAACTGAAATATTTTTTGAAATTCTTAAGTTTATTATAATATTTTTTAATCACACATTAATTGATCATACAGAAAATACAGAATACAAATCATCTGAGAAAAAACACTAGCTTGCCTAGTATATCTCTTTATACTTGCAACTTGCTTCATGAATGTTTATCTGATGTTTTTTTCATCAGAGCGAATAAACATCAAGAAACGTTTCCGTTGAATAAGTAGTGTTTTGCAAGATAGACTAAAAAAAAAAAATAAATAAAATAATGCTCCAGCAAATATATCATATATTGTGATATTTATTTTATTTAATTATGATAAAAATAACTTTATTATTAGTTATGACATTTTTTTATTGTATCTATACTTATTTTGTTCAATATTAAGTATGAATTATTTAATATTTACTAACAATAAAAGCAAGACCAAAGGGTTTGTTGCAAAAATGGGATAGATTCATTCATGCAGAGTTATAGGTTAATGTGTTATTTAATAGTGTTTAATAATGTTTTTTGTATTCCTAATCCGATTTTAACAAATATTTGAAATTATTAAGGGCCAAAATATTTTAAAAAAGGGAAAATAAACATTTTATTGACGATGAAAATAAATATTGTTGTAAATTAAGATTAATAAAATGATGTAGAGATGGTTGACTGTGATATAATATAAGAAGGAGTTGATCGGGAGTGAGAGGGGGGAGGTGCGGTCAAGTAAATACTAAATTATAAAAATAGTATTATTAATTTATTATACCGACGTTTCGGACTACCTTGCAGGTCTTCATCAGGGCGTGGCATCAGGCAATTTTATTTTTTTTCCAGACTTCAGTCGTATCAACTGCCTCCTGCAGTTGATACCACGCATTGATGAAGACCTGCAAGGTAGGTCGAAACGTCGGCATAATAAGAATATAATGCTTTATTTATTCTGGTACGAGTCCCTTTAGAATAATACAGAGAAACAAAAATGTGGGCTAAGGAGCCTCAGAGATACATAAACAAGAGTATAGTTTGATTAAATAGTAAAAAAAAAAAATAAACATGAAGTAAAAATAATAAAGAACGATATAATAATTATATACATATTTACAGTAGTAACTATTTACAATTTTATGATGAGGACTGGATGGATAAGAAATGATTAAACAGTTGGGATTTAAAGGTAGGAAGGGTTTTGGATTGACAGATGTGGGGAGGGATGGAGTTCCATAGGAAAGAGGATCGAATAATAAATGATTTATCGAAAGCAGCGGTTCGGTGGGCCATTATATATAGATCTGAGGACCGGGAACGGGTATTGCGGGAGTGGACAGAGGATTTAAATTGAAGGAGCTCGGCGATGTATGAAGGACGGCGGGAGTGAATTACTTGGAAGAGGAAGGATGCCAGGAAATACTAATACTAATAATAATAAATTAATAATACTATTTTTATAATTTAGTACTTATTTGTCCGCACCCCCTCCCGACCAACTCCTTCTCATTTAAGATTAATAAAACTATTATACTGTTAAATATGATTAAGTGAGCAATAAATCCTTGAAGTATTGGTAATAATATAATGTATAGTGACTCTATTTTATTATAGAAGAGGAAGTACTGATGGTTACTATCCTTCTCCATGCCTGAAATGCTCCAATAAATATCTCATTTTTTTTTAAGCTCATTTTCTTATTCTCACTTCTATCACAGGTGTGAGTAGAGGAATTAAGGGAAATATAAAGTGAAAAAGACTCCTTTTTCATTATATTGAAGTATTTTAAGAGATCTTAGTAATATCTTCTTATTCAATAATATATCACGGTCAAACATCAAGAATTCATTATATCTTTAACCCTCATTGTTTCAAAAAGTAATTTTTATTTCTGCCATGCTGTTGTTTTTTATACAGCAAAAATTTGTTTGTTATTTACTGTCCCCATATTAATTTTTTAAACCAGCAATATTTTCAAAATTTATATCCAAACCCACATTATGATCTTTAATGCTTTTGATAAGGTCTTCAAACCAATATGTTTTATTTTTAATTGCATACCTTACCATTACCAACAATACTCATATATTTTGTTCCAATATCTTTTTACAATATTTGTTTAATAATTTTGCAGTTCTCAATAATTTTGACTGCAATTCCCAAACAACTTTCCAGCCATATTAATGAAGTATAAGGAATATCTTCATATATTCAGTAAATTTTCTCTTCACCATTAAACTTGTAAAAATTGTAAACTCAAATCATTGTATAACTTTTAAATTGCTTTGTGTTATAATTCGATAGAATGTTATTATTTATTTATAGATCGAGACTTGGATGCCAAATAATTATGACAAAAGAATTAGATGGTCTTGAAGTCAATCTACCTGAAACAATTAATGATGCCCGAAGCTAGCATACTACACTTCACCTAGGAAGAAGCTAAAGAAATTATTTTTATATTGTTATCTACGTGTTAGCCAAATTAAGAAAATAGACTAACAATCATTTTATTTTATTCATCATCATAGTAATTTATTAGATCAAAATATGACGAACCTATGTATTATTAAAGTTGCAATGATATACAATTTTTATGAAATGAAAAAATGAAATTTCTTAAATAAATTGCAATGTTTTTATGTAAATATTGATGAAAAATGTCAAAACAGTTTTTTTTTTTGTTATCTTTGTGATTAATATTTAACATGTCTTTAAAAACAAATACTGTTGTTATTTCATTAAAAAATTTCTAAAATGTTAAAATTGAATTTATATATTAAAGTATATTTTTTAAAATAATTTAATTCCACTGTTATTCACATTATGTATTTTAGTTGTTTGTACCTATTTTATTATATGTTATTGTTAAAATGGAAATCGACAAAAAATAAAATTGATTTATTTTCGATAAGTGATTCGTTATTCTATGTATTTCTTTTCCTTCCACGAGTTGAGTGTCATGGTTTGATACCATGATCATTCGAATTCTACAAATAAATATTTTTTCATTATAAAAAAATAATGCTTTACAAGATACAAGGAGAATAATTGAGGAATAAGTTTAAATTTTATTCTGAGAGGAAATGGTGACTCAAGCAAATGAGAAAGTCATCAGAGATGTACTTGTAATACATAACTGCTAATTTTGGAAAAAAGAAAGTTATGAAGTAATTTTAGTTCTCATGATGCCGTTACGCCTTTCAGAAGTTATTTCCATAGAGTAATCCAATTATCCAGCAGTAATAAATAAAATGAACCAATTGACTTGAAAATGGCGTAATGGCTGAAACGTTGCCATTAGGACTAAAATTGTGGAATGAATAAACATGTGGTAAAAAAGATAAATGCCCAAATTATTTAAATTTCAGAATAAGAATTTTCATCATAAAAAAGAAAGTTATGATTATTGTAACAGTGAATTGTAAAAAATCATTTACGGGAAAGGAGGCGATGTATAATCATTGCCGGTTCATACATGAGGTCTTCCATCAGTGATCATTGAGTAGGTTTCATACATGCATATATATTTATATATATAAATCCTTTCCTGGAATAAAAAATGTATCCAATATCCCCTGCCGTGCCTTTTCCACTTAAAAACGTCCAAATTATCTCTACCACCTATTTCCATTTGATACCCCTAAGCTCCTGATCACTTCCTTAATATTCCTTCACCTATTGATGTACGGTATATGGGGACATCTCTGGGAATCTTGAGTCAAAACTAAAACGTTTGATGAATTGCTTCGTACAATTCATTTTCAGGATCCCAAGGGACACCTCTATTTCATGTTTATTTAAAGAGTTAAATTGGCTTTATCCTTCCTACCATCATAAATATTTCCTAGCATCCTTCCTCTTCCAAGTTATCTAATCGCACCATCCATCATACATCTCCCAGCTCCTTCAATTCAAATCCTCGGTTCATTCCCAAAATACCCCCTCTAGTTCTTCAAATCTATTTACTATGGCCCACTGAACAGCTGCTTTCGACAGATCTTTTAGTATTCATCCTTATCCCTATGGAATTCTATCTGTTCCTACATCTGTTGCAATCACTTCATAACCATTCAGTCCTACTAAAATTGTAAATAGATTAAATTGTAAACTGTAAATTTTTTTTTTTTTTATTCATTCATGATAAAAAAAAAAATACAACTAGTAAATGTGCACTCAGGAATATAATAACATGAAAACGCTTGTTGAGAAACTACCCACTGATAGCACTCATATAATAAATTTACACAAAAAGATCATGAGGCCACCTTCTTTTCAGACGCCTCGGGTGGTTCTGAAAGGATAGGTACCTGGATTGAACCAAATCAGAAACATATGGAAAATTAAGGTCGCTATGGATGATTTTATTTGTGACAAAGTAAGGAGCATTGAGGATTTTACAAAGGATTTTGGATTGTAAAGAATGGATACGAGAGGAATTTGATGTTGTAGTGGAGCCCCAAAGCTTAATTCTGTAAGTCCAAATAGGTCTCATTATTGTCACACATATGGGTATTTTGTAACTGATTGACAGCTTAGGGTGTTTGTCTAGTAAGTGGTGGAGTAGTCTGAAACGTCGAGCGGTTTCTTGTTGTTTCAGTTTTGTATGAGGATTCCAAGTGAGTTGTTTGCCCAGGTGGAGTCCTAAGTAACGGATTTGTTCTACTGGGATAAGTGTGGAATTCTTAAAGGATACTGTAGGATAGGAAGTCATAGGTTTGCGATGCAGGCCAAAGGTAATTTGATGGGATTTATTTTAATTCTCCAGTTTTTATACCATTCTTCAAGATTTGTAATATGTGATTGGAGAGTTTGGGATGCAATTGATGGATCATTATTAACAGATAGGATACATGTGTCATCAGCACATGTGGTGATGACAGTGTCAGGATGGGTTGGGAAGTCAGCTGTATTAAGGATAGGACCCAGGATACTACCTTGAGGAACACCAGCATACTGGGAAAAAAGGGATGAATAAGAGTTGTGACTAGCTTTAAAGTATCTACATCTGCAGTAAATGTACTTATCTATTTCTTTTTTTCTCAAGACATTTGTTTTCCTACCAAAGACTTTTCTAAGGTCAACAAAGCGCATCATCATTTTCTTATCTTTTTCAAAGACCTCTCTTATGACAGAAATAAGGTCCTCAGTGTTCCAATTTTAATAAAAACTATTGTTCCTCTTCTAGAAATCCTTCTATCCTTTTCTTATTCTTTTTTCTAAGATCTTAGAATATATCTTATCCGGAATACTTAAGATAGATATACCTCAGGGGTTTTTAGTTTCTGATCTTCCCTTTCTTAAAGTTAGGGAAAATAATAGCTACTTATCAATCTTTCAGGATTTTAGGTTCAAAAGGTGCAACATAGCTTTGTAAGGTTTGTTGCTGGGACCCCAAGACGCTCCCGTTTCTTCCACAATTACACTGATTTAGGGTGGCTCTTCCTTTCCTTCCGTAGACAATATTTCCTATATATAACATTCATCAAAAATATTTTCTATAACAGTCATCGGCCATCCTATGCTTATGATATTCTTCAATTCAAATCCTCTGCTCTCTCTTATCACAAGAACCCAACCTTCTGAGCTTTATACCCCTTTTCACAGATTTACCTCTTTCCAAAACTTTTTCGTTGCCCACTCCGCTAATTTCTGGAATTCCTTCCCTATAAAAATCCGGTCTGCTCTCTGATTACCCACCTTTAAAACCCTTTTATTCCAATTGCTATTGATGAAACAGTCAGAAAAAGTTTCAGAGCGTTGTTAAAAAAAACAAACAATCTTTTCTACCTGTATATATATATATATATATATATATATATATATATATATATTTTTTTTTTTTTTTTTTCTCCTTCTTATGATCTTGTTTATACATATGTGTATTTATGAACTTGCATATATCTTTTTCATGTGATATCATTTCTGTTGTTGTTGATTTCCATGCTCTTAAAATTGCTTAATTTGTTTATTTTCACACTATTACTGTTAATGATGTTTTAATTTTTATTAAAATAAAATACATAAATCCTTATTTCTTTAAATTTCACTTTACGTTATTTATTTTTATTTGGTTCTCATCTGTTAGAGGAATTTATTTAATATTTACTGTTGTCTTTTTTCTATCTTGTCTATCTCATTTTATTATTATTTTTCTTTATTTTTTTAGATAAACAATGATTATTTTGTTTCATTCTTATTTATATGTTTATGTTATATAGCTTAAATATTCTGTATAAAGTTCCATTCGTTGGTTTTGTTAGTTTACAAAAGATTTTCTATTTATTTAATGTAGCTTTTCTTATTTAATGTAATTTATTATTTAAATACTTCTGGCCAGATGTATTTCTTTCGTTTTGTTACTTTCTGTTATTCTTAAGGGACTCCGTCCCAGAATAAAGTTAATTTTTTTTTTTAATTTCTATTTCTATATTGTACAGCTATTCTTCTGATGTATCTTCTTCTATATACTCATCCTTCTCCTTGGTACTACCCTCTCTCTCTGCTTTTCGTTTATTTGAACTGTTTGTACTCATCCTTCCAGCAATCCTGAAAATCTTCACTGCTATCCATTACCTAGTCATTTTGTCTGAGGACATTTCCATCCTTGTCCTTGACAAACTTCAAGGTTTGCACTCTATATTTGCTAAATCTCTTAAATACACGGTAAAATAACTTTTGATTTTGGTGAAAAACTAATTTTTATTGAAATTGTCACCAAAGTATAATAGTAAAATAATGAACTTTTTCATAATTTCATTTTCCCACAACATTAAATTGTAATCAGAAGAACACTATATTGAATGCTAGTTGTCAGTTTTAAAGTGAAAAACCAATACAAAATTGACAAATATTAGGAATTAACAAGAATACTTTGAAAAATTGTTAAAGGATTTCAAAGAGAAAATTGAACCAAGATAAAATCTTGCCATCTACCAAATATGTGGAACAAGTATTTAACATTTTGGAAGAATGAAAAAGTTCTGCAAAACAAATAATGTCACATGAATGATTTTTACCCACCCCAAAATCCTGAATAATGACTTCATTAGATTTTAAAGGAATATTTTTAGATATTATTTTTCAGAAGTGTTTTTTCGTTACAACATATCTTATTTAATTTTCATCACATCTAATGATAGAACCATCATTTAGAAGATCATCCTCTAAAAAAAAGAAAACTTTTTGAACTGAAATGATCTATAATGTACGTTAAGTCTCTCAGTCATTGAGCTCCTGGCAAAACTAGGTGTCTCATATTTCATACTAAGGTTTATTTATTTATATTTCAACATTTCATACTAAAGTTTGTCCTTATGAATTGACCATATTCACAGGTCTGATAAAAATAATGTATGTCAGCCAGCATATATCCGCTGCAATATTTCCTAGGTACGTTCCTCTATCAAATCATTAACAACCATCGTCCTTCTTATGCCTTCAACCTTCTCCAATTCAAGTCCTCAGTCCATTCCCTTTCAACAAGATCTCGACCTTCTGACCTCTACATCCCTTCGCACAGATCTGCCTCATTTCAGAATTCCTTTATAGCTCGCGCTGTCAATTTCTGGAATTCTCTAC